TGGTCTAAACTCGATTATTTACAAACCACCGCCATATAGCTGGAATGCCGCATTAACATAAAAAAAAACAGACAAACAAACAGTCCATAGTGTTAACGTGTGAAAACCAGTTTCTCCCAATACAAGAGGATAATGAAAACAAACTTCATTGATTTGTATTAAATTATTTTACTAAAATCATTTAAGACGGGTTAAACACATTCAACAAATCAAGCTTAAACAGTGCTATACATCGAAGCGTTGAAAAAGCAATGCAAATAGAACTCCATAGAACAATGGACTGAGTAGTATGCATTGGGCGATAATAATATCAAAACGTCACTGACGTGTTTCGTTGGTGAAAAATAGTGCTAATTCTTTGAAAGGGATAATCCGGGTGCTATTTGATTTTCAGCTTGGAGACTTCGACAGACGATCGTGAACACTATTGGATATGTCCAAGTTACAGGCGTATTGTAATAATGTTCAAATACCTTTTAGTTTAACTATCTGAATGATAAAGAACACGCTTAGCACAAACTGACAGATATAACGGACTCTTCCTCTAGTTCCGGCTGCTTGCCGTGTATGGGTATAACGCACAACGGTTATATGGGAATAAATGGGTTTTTTTATTTGTTTTCTTTTTTGTTTGTTTTTAACTAAATGTTTTGTCCCTTTGACTTCGCTATAGCCGTACTATACTGTAAGAGCATATTTTCGCCTAGAACATGTCAGTAGTTGGACTCTTGAGTTATAGAACATACATTGCGCTTGTAATAGAAGGGGATCACCAAAGGCGCATGTCGTGGAGATGAAAACTTATTTTAAAAGAGGAATATTTTAAAATTACCACATACTCCAATAAAAAATCTGCTCTTATCGCATACCGGCAACCTCTACACTTGCGACGCGAGGCATCTGACAATTTATCCAAATTGAGAGCATGAGTTTTGCTTCTGGAAGAGCAGGACGTTGTTTTCATATTCGCCGGCAGTGGGGTAGCCTAATGGTTAAAGCGTTTTCACGCCGAGGACCCGGCTCGTCACGCCACATGGGGACAATTTCTGGTGCTCCCCCGCATTGATATTGCTGGAATATTGCTAAAAGCGGTGGAAAACTAAACTCACTCACTCACGTAAGGGAAACTGTGTTGGCAAATGATCTAGACTAAGTATTCTCCTGCCTGATCCCTTATAGGTCATGGCGAGGCAAACACAGGTCCCGTGGTCTTAAAGGGAATCTCTGTGCATCTACCCGTGTCAGTATTAAACACCGGGTGTTTAAAAGTACTACTGAACTCTAAGATACACTGTCTTTCTTAACGTTTGCAAGGGACAGCGGAGGAGAATTGTATCTTCACACAAAAAGTCACGAAAGCGTTCGAAAAACGTTCTGAAACCAATGACTCAAAAAACAAAACAATAACTATACACATTGGTAAAATGATCAACTTTGGTATACAAAAATAACACGTAGCGATAGATATGGAACGGTTCGTCTATATTACAATATATACAATTATATAATATATCATCAATATACTCCCATGCCGTGTGACACTTATTCGTTCAATGTAAAACAAGTGTATACATTTCAGCTATGTGAAAACCTCCGTCAAACCTTTAGAAACATATCACTGATGCATAAAACTTGGTATTACGACACTGTTGTACATCAACATATGTTCTTCATACAACGAAACCTCATTAAACTGGACAGTAAGGTGAAAATACCTACTTCATATTCATTGTCAGGAGTTTGACAACATCTTACTAATACATCACTCTGGTAATCAAGACACTGTGTTGCATCAACATGTGCTCTTTATACAATGGAACCTCGTTAAAATGGACATCAATATATAAATAGTTCCTTAATAAGTGTAAGCCTTTCATCAATGTATATTCTTTGTAAAACATTTTCAACATATTACTGATAAATCACTCTAGCGATTCACACAATACGGTGACCATCATAAATACTTTATATAAGGAAACCTCGTTACACTGGACAGCAAAATGTCAATACTTCGTTTACAACTGTCAATGTAAATCATAACGTTTGACAACATATCAATAATACACCACAGTGGGTATTAAGACACGTTGGCGCATACATATTATCATTCTTTATACAGCGGAACCTCGGTAAACTGGTGTCCTGGTGACTGTTCACAAATGAGTTCGTCCTTGTCAGATTATTTGTCTTTTTTGTAATAGTCCGAGGTTCAACAGCAACAGAACACGAATATTTGGACGAATTTGTGCGCTGGATGGCTATGTAAAATTCGTATTTAGAAATTTAGGACAAAAGCAATCTCATCCAAATGTGTCTGATGAGTTATTCTGTTGTCAAATGACCATTTACTTCCATTCGGATCAATACCTTCTTATTCTTGAGGGGCGGTGGGGTAGCCTAGTGGTTAAAGCGTTCGCTCGTCACGCCGAAGGCCCGGGTTCGATTCCCCACATGGGTACAACTTGTGAAGCCCATTTCTGGTGTCCCCCGCCGTGATATATGCTGGAATATTGCTAAAAACGGCGTAAAACCATACTCAGCTTATTCTTGAGTTGTATACAAATCTTCACCAAAGCTGTGAGAAATATGCTCGGGAAAACAACGACATCATTTCAAACTACCGTCACCGAGGGACTCTAGAACTTCCTGAAGCATGCAGGATGTATGGATATGCTGGGTAAATTCTAGTTTGCTCCCACGTGGAACTGAATCTCCTCATATAACTAAAATACTACTGAAAGCAGAGTTAAACGCACATAACTCACTCACGCACTCACCCATTTCTGCCAAAATCTAATCCACCAGCAAAGTCAGTCAAAATATTTGTATACTGAGTTTTGACATATTAATATATATGTACTACAAGGAATGTTCTGTCAACGAATGTAAAACGTATAGGTACACTTGGAAAAAGGTTAAGCACCACATACATTATATTTCCATACATAAATTAGCCATTTTTGTAAAATCGTATCTTGTACAAAAAACCCCGTATTTATTGAATAGTCATAGCCATACGGTAATAAGTATTTGACTATCTTTTAATATCGTATTCCATTTCCTTTCGTTATATAAAAAGTGGGGCGGTGGGGTAGTCTAGAGGTTAAAGCGTTCGCTCGTCACGCAAAAGGCCCGGGTTCGATTCCCCACATGGGTAAAATGCGTGAAGCCCATTTCTGGTGTCCCCCGCCATGATATTGCTGGAATATTGCTAAAATCGGCGTAAAACTAAACTCGCTCACTTGTTATACAGTGTTACCCAGTACATACGTCCATTGACTGACATTTTATTAAATAATTATCTACAAACATACAATAAAAAAAAAGAATATGGAAATCCCAACTGACACTTAGGCAATGTCAAGAGCTGAGACTTGCCAAATCATTTTGGACGTGAGTTACATTGGGTTTTTTATTTATTCTCGATGATCTGGTGACATACAAATGCGACCGAAGAATATTCAGAAACTAGCATAGGGCTAGCCTAGTGGTTGAAGCGTTCGCTTGTCAGGCCGCACATCGGGTTCCATTCGCCACATGTGTACAATGTGTGAAGCTAATTCAGGTATCCGTGATATTATTGCGGGAATATTGCTAAAAACGGCGTAAAACCATACTCATCCACAGAGCACCAAGACGATGCTTTGGAGATTTTACGTGCGCTTTCCGACATAATGCATGAGCAGGGCGAAGCCAAAGGATACTGCTGGCTAGAAAAAATATCTCTGTTTACGTGTCACATTTTCAGCTACTACCGTTAGTTTAAGACATTTTTTTCTCAAAAATACTCAGTTGTACCATAATAATGGTATTCCCGAATAATTAAAAGTTAGCGATATTGAGAATAAAGATTGGGTGCTTATCGTTTTTCCACTTGTATTTGAGGAATGACACATCCTGACGCGATACCGGCTGATGTCTTAGCACTGGAATGCTAGCAGTAATATAGTTTAATTATCCACCCAATATACATAGACGGGCATCCGTGTAAATAAAATACTTCCAATATATACAAATATGTACTGTACAGTCTGCCTCAATACTCTTGACTTCGGAAAAACCGAAGCTGGGTATCTCGGACATTGGTTAAGGTTATCTTTAGTTCGTTATATCCATAGTTTAAGGGAGTCATCGATCGATACTGTTAAGACAGGACGGCGCAAAGTATCATGTGACCCTTTTGCACACAACACCGTGTTATTACATCCAGTAAACCCTGTATGATCGAATGTCGCAAATGATTAGAAAATCGTAACGTTAAATAAAGCACAGTGTGACATTATTTTGAGAATTAGCAGCTCGTGATAAGATCGATCGATGACTACGTTAAACTGTTTCATAGAACCATAGTCTTGGCAGTGGAATCTTAAACGAACGTATATACATTTGCTTCGAGTACCATCCTGTTAAATTGTTCCCATACACTCATACCGTGATTCATCTGGGTACACGCGCACTAAGAAGCATAGAGGTCAAGGATACCATGGAAACGTCAACACTTACGCTGGTGTGTCATGGTAAACAGACAAATCATATTTCGTTTCAGGATTTGTGACCTTTTTTTGAAACCTTTGGAAACCGGAAATCCTCCGTGGCAATCGGTTAAACACACTGCAATACCTATATCAGTGTAAATCTAGCAAAATCTCTAAAGTTTGATGTTAGATGGGCGTTGATTATGTTAGAAAATATATCACGAGCGGCAATATATAAAAAAATAAACCTTCCGAATAGAAGGATCGGAATCGGAATCGGAATTGAGATGTGCATATTTCATTTTCAAATATATTCTATATTTCCTCTTGAGCTTGGTCATAATCCGTTTTGAATTTGAACATGTTTTCGTTATATCATTTTAAACTGATAGTGACAAAAAAGTTCTGCTTGAAACAGTCTGGCTAAAAAGACAATGAGGAAGTAACTGGCTTTGCTAAACCGATAGCAAAGTCGTGGAAAACCCGATGTAGAAAGGGATTCTCAATGTGACACTTGCAGAATCCCTGTGAAAAGCTCGATCGTATAATAGCATAGCAACCTTCCGACAAAAAAATTATGCACCCTGTCAATTTTTGGTGTTATTGTGAAAATAAACAAGTCGGTTTGTATGTAAAGAAACAGTCGGGTTGCGCATGGTTCATATTCTGCGTTCTGTTTCGTCGATACTGTTGGTTAATCGAGGTGGTCGTATTACAGAGGTGCTACTTCATTCAAGTCATTTTCACAACTTCGAACACACGTTCTTCTCCTATTTGTGATTCCATGTTATCTGAATGTAATCAAATCTCGTTGTCTTTCAAAACACCGACTTTGGATACTGTCAAGGCAACATGGATATAAATAAACGATGATGATGTCATCCTTTACCTCTCGGCTAATCGTCCGCCAAGGGTTCACTTTTTTCAAAATTTGGATTGTTGAAAGTTGTTGTAGGGTCTCTAAAAATTGGATTCCTCACCTAAAATAAAAAAGAATATTGAAAAACATTAGCGCAATTTCGAAGTATAATGTAAAGAAACGCTCATACAATATCATGAAAACGGCCATGTCGACAAGCGGCCTTAGGTAAGGGAGGCAACACAGGTCTATCTTGCGATTCATATCTTCGAGGGTGTTTTTGTTCTTTCTTTCTTTGTTAACTCCGTACTCAAATATATTCCAGCTGTATAGCGGCGTTCTGTAAATAATCGACTCTGCACCAGACTATGTAGTGATTGACATCATGAGCATAGATAAATTCAACTGGATACGATGACAAGTGTCAACCAAGTCATCGAGTCTGACCATTCCATCCCGTTAGTCGCCTCTTACGACAAGCATGGGCAGCTGAATTTCCAATTCCAACCCGGATCTTCACTGGTCTTGGGGTAATGTATTTGACAGTAGTTTTGAACGCCAAATAACGCGCGACAGTGTAGATTCATAATCATCAATATGCAGAATACATGTATATCATTATAATTTGCATATCAAAGCTGGGGCGATTTCACATTTTTAGCAATAACCAACAAAAACGTGAAGTGAGTGAGTTTGATTTTTACGCTGCTTTTAGCAATATTCCAGCAATATCACGGCGGGGGACACCAGAAACACAGGCCCTCGTGTCCTTGCGAAGATTTACGATTAAAACATATTTTTTTAGATGACCCCCTGACTCGAAATGCTACACAGTACAATATGTCATAATGTATTGGACTGTGAAGCATTTCAAGTCGGGGGTCATCTCAAATGTTATATGCTTTTTTAACATCTTTAATCCTCGCAAAGCCACGAGGGCCTGTGACCAGAAATGGGCTTCACACATTGTACCCATGTGGGGAATCGAACCCGGGTCTTCGGCGTGACAAGCGATCGCTTTAACCACTTGGCTACCCCACCGCCCCTTAAAACGTGGAGAAATGTTTCCGGGTTAGATAGAGGCAAGAGGATTACCTGGCCCCACTGGGGATTATTTATCTCTTCATTAAAGCGGGCGTACTCTATCCCGTCGTATAGGGACGTCAGTATTTTCCACAAGATCAACAGCAGTAGCCCCACTGCCAGAATCCCCCCGATCACCCCCAGTACAATGGGCACGATGTCCACCTCTTTGGGGCAATCTGAAAATTTAATCGGTATAATTATATTTTTCAATGTTAAGCAGTGATACGACAGTTTGATGCAGTATGAAGGTCCTAGACAGCTTCCACTGTTGTGTGGTGGTGGGTAGGGTGTTGGGGGAAACTGGGCATTCGCCATGTCAACAGAAGGCAGCAACCAGCCGTTCGCTGCATCCTTCCTCCCCAACACGCGATGAAACATACGGTGCAGTTGATATCTGCCGGTACACCGCCTGTTCAAATTCCGGGCTCCCTGCTACATCCTCTCGACCTCCTCCCTCCTCTGCCTCTACACTATGGTATGTATATATGGTATTCAGCGCCCAATAACAAAACTCTCTCAACTACGAGTATAACACCGGACTGGTACAGAACAGGTGAGGTGAGGTGAAATTGGGTTTTACGTCGTGCTTGAGAATATTTCGCTCATATGACGACGTGCATGCGTGTGTATGTGTATGTGCGGCTGCTTGTACTAGCCCAGACTTAAGTTGGTTTTATAGTGCTATCCCACTGAGATACCATGCCGCAGTGAAGCATGAATACCCCACTCAGACACATCATACTGACTCCGAGCCGACCAGTCCTTGCTGTACCCATTAATGCCGAGCGCCAGGCAGGGACCAACAAATACCATATTTTAACGTCTTTTGGTATGACGCGGTCGGGGATCGAACCCGCGACCTACCGCTGTCCGGGCGGACGCTCTAACCACTACACCACGGAGGCGGTCTGGTACAGAAGAGTACAAGTATGATCATCTAAAGGAATATTATTAATATGGGACAATAGACAATACAGCAAAAGATAAGATGGACGAGAACCAGAAGATGGAGATGAACGATCGGCAATGTCACAAAAGCAGCTTTGACTTTTCGTCCGGAAACAGAACATAGTTTGTGAACGCCCTTGCAACAACTTGAACAATAACAGATTACATCCATCATTAGATTATCACACCATTGATATCGTTTTCTCTGGAAATGTCTAAGTCCATTATTTAAGGATAATAAATAAGTTCATATGTTTTGGCACAGGGGCGTGTCACGCTTAGAAACAGCGTTAGAAAGACATATAGGTATATAGACCCTACCCTAGTATTCACGCTTAGAAACAGCGTTAGAAAGACATATAGGTATATAGACCCTACCCTAGTACTATATACTAGGGTAGGGTCTATATACCTATATGTCTTTCTAACGCTGTTTCTAAGCGTGACACGCCCCTGTGTGTTTTGGTAGGTTCGTCCCTCACCTTTGGCGTCTTGAACATGTATCGTCGTGTTCCGCTCACTGTTGTAAATGACCTTGAACTTCATTGTACATCTGTCTTCGTCCTTGAGTTTACATGTTCCATTGTCATCTTCTGCAAATAGAAATGTCACTTAGTGAGTGAGTTTTTAAGCCGCTTTTAGCAATATTACAGCAATATTACGGCGGGGACACACGATAAAAGCTTCACAGATTGCATTTCTTAATTGTACCCATGTGGGAAATCGAACCCGGGTCTTCGGCTTGGCAATAATGTCACTTAGCTAAAACAATATTATGACATATTATCAATAAATCATTACTAGCCATGTGGGTAATCGAACCCGGGTCTTCGGCGTGGCAATAATGTCACTTAGCTAAAACAATATATTAGTAACAAATCATTAGGAATTACACCATAACCATTTAGCGATGTGTACATTAACTTTTTTTAGCGGAACAATCATTTTTGTAAAAGACCTCATTAACAATATGCCGTAGTAGTTATACCGTCTATGTTGTCGACCTTCACCACGTGACCACACTTCTTTAGACATTCAATTTCCGGAAGTCCGGTCCCGAAGGCTACACACTCTGCGCATGTGCGGCTGTCGGCACATACACCTGGGCACGTCTGTAACACATAAATGCCAGTGTTGTCATGGAGACTAGAAAACCAAAGTGTATTAAGAAGACAAGAAATTAAATAGGCAATTGCCACTGAGATTATAGATGTGAAACATTTATGGGATGGCATCAAAACAGAGTGAGTATTGTTTTACGCCTCTTGTAGCACCATACCAGCACAACCACGGTAGGCTACACAAGACTGGGAGGAGGTGGTTGAGAGTAAGAAAGGTGGCAGACTCGCAAATGCATACACATACAGTCATACACATACGTATACACAAACATACAGACCCATACACACACACACACAGTGAGTGAATGAGTTTAGTTTTACGCCGCACTCAGCAATATTCCAGCCATATGGCGGCGGTCTGTAAATACTCGAGTATGGAGAATACAATCCAGTGATCAACATTATGAGCATCGATCTACGCATTTGGGATACGATGACAAGCATGGGTTGCTGAAGATCAATACTAACCCGGATCTTCAGGGGTACACATGCACAGAAACAAAGGTACATACGCACACAGACAATACATATAAAAACAAACGTGCATAAACACACACTGAGAGAGGCATCTCCCTCAGATAACAGCCCATTTCTGGTGTCCCCGCCGTGGTATTGCTGGAATATTGCTAAAAGCGGCATACAACTAAACTCATTCACTCATATAACAGGTTCCTATTGCATTGCAAGTTTTGAGACAACCCCTTTTTTTCCATGACAGTATACACATGGTTACCATGTCATGCCATGAAAAGCTGAATCAGTTATGTCTGAATAAGTGGTGGGGCGTTCTCATAATCTTTATGGGGCGATACAACAGCTGCTTATCTGAACTGTGGTGATTTGCAGGAAGATAACCATACACACCTGCCACGCTGCATTATAAGTTATCACATCGTGTCCCGGGAAATACGGGGTTTTATCAGTACCTCGTAAGGTTGTATTCCAATCGCCTCCGGGGAATACAACCTTACGAGGGACTGATAAAACCCCGTATTTTCCGAGACACGATGTGATAACGCATTTATCTATCCGAATGGTTTTACTAAATCAAAAGAAAACAATAAGCATCGAATCGACTTGTTTTTATTAATGTGAGATGCCACGTTGACACCAGCTGATCCATTGACCTCAATGCAGCGCACGTTACTAAAGGCTTGGTGATGCACGCTTTTCTCACTTCGCGTGGTCACCGAGGCGTGGCGGGATAATATGATTTTTGTACTCCCTGCTCGTTGATCGTGACGGGTGTACATGGTATTTTATCAGAGTCACGTGAACCAATCAAAACTCGACATTCTTACATGAGGCTGGATAATAGACCTTGTCTTTCAACCGTGGCCACAGAGTTACCACTTCATAGTTCCGAGGTAATTCAAGCCACGTTTAGGCACTGATCTGATGAAGGAGCATGGTATGAACGTTCTAATTGCCCAGCACTTTTCGTCCATCAATACATCCATCCATCAATCCTGTTTCCTCTCCATCAAATTATTCGTTCGTTTATCCATTATCTATCTATACTAAACATTCATCCAGTCAACCACTCATTCATTCGGCCATTCACCCATGCATTTATGTATTCACGAATCTATTCTTGACTGTCTAAATTATTCACACATTACCTTTAAACAGAAGAAGCAACTATGTAGTGGAGTGATAATTCGGATAGTATTAAATACGGATCACACGCCACCGAGTAAACATACTTTGTTTCAGGATGCTCTGGAGAAACAATTTGCCACAGATTTTGCGAAAGAAAAGATTATTTTCTGGACATGCTGGGTGTCCTGGTAAGATATGTTGTAAAAATTAACTTTGATTTTGGAGAAGAAATTCAGCCGTAACAAAACAAATTAACTTCGCCAACAAACAGGGGCCAGTTGAAATATTGTTTTTCTGGAGATCCATCATGTCCCAGTGAACATTAAGATCAATATGATGGCCAGAGATGACAGTTGACCTACCGGACACTTGTCGCAGAGTCGACCCACGTAGCCTTCCCGACACTTGCACTGGCCACACACACAGGTACCGTTACCGCTACACAGTTCCTGGATCATGACGAGAATTGTTACAGCTACACCATTTTGGCCTGTAGTCAGCAATGTTACAGCTGTACAGCGCCAGTCTGCTGTCAGCAATGTTACAACTATACCATGTTGGGCTTGGTGAGCAATGTTACAGCTGTACCATGTTGGTCTATTGTCAGCAATGTTACAGCTGTACAACGCCAGTCTGCCGTCAGCAATGTTACAGCTACACCACGCCTGTCTGCCGTACAGCTGTACAAGCCAGTCTGCTGTCAGCAATGTTACAGCTACACCATTTTGGCCTGTAGTCAGCAATGTTACAGCTGTACAACGTCAGTCTGCTGTCAGCAATGTTACAGCTATACCATTTTGGCCTGTAGTCAGCAATGTTACAGATGTACAACGTCAGTCTGCTGTCAGCAATGTTACAGCTATACCATTTTGGCCTGTAGTCAGCAATGTTACAGCTGTACAACGTCAGTCTGCTGTCAGCAATGTTACAGCTATACCATTTTGGCCTGTAGTCAGCAATGTTACAGCTGTATAACGTCAGTCTGCTGACAGCAATGTTACAGCTGTACAACGCCAGTCTGCCGTCAGTAATGTTACAGCTACACCATTTTGGCCTGTAGTCAGCAATGTTACAGCTGTACAACGTCAATCTGCTGTCAGCAATGTTACAGCTATACCATTTTGGCCTGTAGTCAGCAATGTTACAGCTGTGTATCAGTCTGCTGTCAGCAATGTCAGTCTGTTGTCAGCAATGTTACAGCTGTACAACGTCAGTCTGCCGTCAGCAATGTTACAGCTACACCATTTTGGCCTGTAGTCAGCAATGTTACAGCTGTACAACGTCAGTCTGCCGTCAGCAATGTTACAGCTATACCATTTTGGCCTGTAGTCAGCAATGTTACAGCTGTACAACGTCAGTCTGCCGTCAGCAATGTTACAGCTACACCATTTTGGCCTGTAGTCAGCAATGTTACAGCTGTACAACGTCAGTCTGCCGTCAGCAATGTTACAGCAATACCATGTCGTAGTCAGCAATGTTACAGCTGTAGTCAGCAATGTTACAGCGTGTCACAATGTTAAGCGTCAGTCTGCCGTCAGCAATGTTACAGCTGTACAACGTCAGTCTGCCGTCAGCTATGTTACAGCAATACCGTGTCGTAGTCAGCAATGTTACAGCTGTACAACGTCAGTCTGCCGTCAGCAATGTTACAGCAATACCGTGTCGTAGTCAGCAATGTTACAGCAATGTTACAGCTGTACAACGTACAACGTCAGTCTGCCGTCAGCAATGTTACAGCTATACCATTTTGGCCTGTAGTCAGCAATGTTACAGCTGTACAACGTCAATCTGCCGTCAGCAATATTACAGCTATACCATTTTGGCCTGTAGTCAGCAATGTTACAGCTGTACAACGTCAGTCTGCTGTCAGCAATGTTACAGCAATACCGTGTCGTAGTCAGCAATGTTACAGCTACACTTTCACCGCGGCATGAACATGAGTATACATTGTATTATGACACAAATCATCCGTCACATGATCCGCCAGGTACCTGTTTGTCATCTAGACAGCCGGCCGGGCTGGTAGCACACTCACAGCTCTTGCCGGTGTACCCTTCGTTACAGAAACACACTCCACACGAACACCGGCCTTGTGTCGGGCCTACAAAAACATCGTCGCGTTTACAGTTAATGGATTGACTGACCGTAAAATCTGGTTAACTCGAACCTCCTTCACTACATGTCGTCTTAAACGAACCCCCGCTTTGTGTCGGTCCTACAAGAACAGTTGATATTTGCATTGACCCTAAAACCCGGTTAACTCGAACTTCCTTCACTACATGTCGTCTTAAACGAACCCCGGCTTTGTGTCGGTCCTACAAAAACAGTTGATATTTTCACTGACCCTAAAACCTGGTTAACTCGAACCTCCTTCACTACATGTCGTCTTAAACGAACCCTCCGGCTTTGTGTCGGTCCTGGTTAACTCGAAAACAGTCTTGATATTTTCACTGACCAGTTGAAAATAAACCCGGTTAACTCGAACCTCCTTCACTACATGTCGTCTTAAACGAACCCCCGGGCCTACAAAAACAGTTGATATTTTCACTGACTAAAATCCATGTCGTCTTAAACGAACCCCGGCTTTGTGTCGGTCCCACAAAACAGTTGATATTTTCATTGACCCTAAAACCTGGTTAACTCGAACTTCCTTCACTACATGTCGTCTTAAACGAACCCCGGCCTTGTGTCGGGTCTACAAAAACAGTTGATATTTTCACTGACCGTAAAATCTGGTTAACTCGAACCTCCTTCACTACATGTCGTCTTAAACGAACCCCGGCTTTGTGTCGGGCCTACAAAAACAGTTGATATTTTCATTGACCCTAAAACCTGGTTAACTCGAACCTTCTTCACTACATGGCCTACACAAACATCGCTTTCACAGTTAATAGTTTTAGGAGCCGTAAAACCTGGTTAACTCGAACCTCCTTCACTACAGTCATGTCGTCTTAAACAAACCCAGGCTTTGTGTCGGGCCTACAAAAAACAGTGTTCACAGTTAATTGTCTCATTGACCGTAGAACCTTGTCAACTCGAATTTTCTTCATTACATGTGTCGTCTTAAACGAACACTCGTCTCGTGGCTGTTCTGCAAAAGTCAGTAAGCTGAGTAATGTTCACAAAGTACATGTCATACATGGACAGTGAAACCTGGTTAACTCGAACTTTTATACTCAACACTTTGATCGGTTAGTTGGTTTGTTGTTTAACGCCGCACTCAGCAATATTCCACCTATATAGCGGCGGTCTGTAAGTAATCGCGTCTGGACCAGACAATCCGGTGATCAACAGCATGAGCATTGATCTAAGTAATTGGGAACCGATGACATGTGTCAACTAAGTCAGCGAGCCTGACCACCTAATCCTGTTAGTCGCCTCTTACGACAGGCATGGGTTGCTGAGGATCAATTCTAACGCGAATCTTCACAGTTTAACGGGAGAAGGCAAATATCTTTGAATTAAATTCGGTCAGTGTGATACAGTGACAGGTTAAGAGCGACGAAGACGCCGGAGTTTGTTTATTGGGCGACCTTTCAATATCACTGACACGGATGCAGTTGAAAGACGGCACCCAGTCACTCCGTTGACCTCCTGACATCAACAATCAATATTGCGGATCTTCACAGGTTCAACAGGTCGTGTAACACATTTTATTATGTAAGCATATTTTTCCGGCTACCTGATTGGTCTAGAGGCGGTCACGTGACCGTCGACAGAAAAGCATATTGACTCCAACCCAGGTCCGACCAAAAGTCATATTGTGTGTATATGTATGTGTATGTTACCTGTGTCTGTCTGTCTGTCTGTCTGTCTGTCTGTCTGTCTGTCTGTATGCATGTATGTGTGAACCTGTGAAATGTATGTATGTATGTATGTATGTATGTATGTACGTACGTATGTATGATTGTATGTATGTCCGCGTGAGTACGTTATTGCGTATGTACGTGTACATGTTTGTGCGAGAATGTCATAGTGTAAGCCTGTGATTGTGTATGTGAGTACATGATTGTACAATGTGTGCGGAATGCATGATTGCATGAGGGGTTGAGTGAGTGCATAATTGCGTGTTTGCGTGTGAGTGTGCACGTTTACGTCAATATGGTGAAGTGCTTTTATAACTTTCGTGTGATTAAAATATCTGGAATGTATGTAATGGTGTTTTTTTTTGTATTCTCTTATTTTATTGTATTACTGTGATAATGCTTGTGATTTTAGTGTCTCATATTGACTTGAGTTACTAAAAATAGATTTTGATGTCAAGCTATGACGTCATTCTATTGTTTACATGTCACAGTATCGTTGACATAACGTTATTGGTTTGTAGCGAAAATAAAATTACTTTTCTTGACTAAATGGACATGTTTTGTTTTAAAGAAGCTTTTTTCGGCAATTACAGTCATAATAAAACAATTATGGAGTGGTGAATTCGGTCAATACCTGTTTTTATATTGCTTTTCGCGGGTCCATGAAAACAGGTATTCACTTCATCACAAGTCTATAATTGTATAATGTCGACTCACCACCACACGTGCGTCCAGCGTAGGTTGGGCAGGCGTTGTCATGACACTCGCAGAAGGATCCGCTGTATCCTCGTCTACATACACACTGTCCACACTCGCACTTCCCAACACCAGAACACGGAACAGTCGAGTTGGGACTGCAGACATAGACACATACTGTCAAACCCCGTTAATCCGAACACTTACAAATCTAACTGAATACATTACAAAAGGACATACTGTTCTTTTTGTTTGTTGTTTAACGCCACAATCAGCAATATTCCACATATATGGAGACTGTCTGTGAATAATCGAGTCTGATAATCTACCAGATAACCCAGTGATCAACAGCATGAGCATCGATATACGCAATTGGAATACAATGACGTGTCAACCAAGTCATCGAGCCTAGCCACCCAACCCCGTCAGTCGCCTATTACGACAAGCATGGGTTGCTGAAGATCAAATCTGAACTGGACCTTCACGGGTCCCAATGGATACAGAGGGTCCACATTCTAGCTAAAAACAATCGTATGGGGAATAAATATAATATCATCGAATAATGTGGGGTGACTCTGTGGGGTGACTCCACGGATCTAGCTAAGACAATTATATTATAGTTTATTTATAGTACATTTTTTGCAACTGTTAGATCATCACGGATGATATCCTCTTTAACGCACGAACAAATAGTAACCCTGACAAAATGATTATATTGAGGAGCTCTATTATGGTAAAATAAAAACAAAAGCGTGTAAAATTCTGCTGGACTTTGGCACCTAAAGGCAAATTAATAGCACATCTATGACATAACTGTATTGACAATAACTGTATAAATTGTAAAAGAAGTGCACAGGAAACTTTTAATGCAAAGTGTTTTCCTGTGCCTCTGTAACGACATGGCCATTGTAGACAGAATGTAACGGGAAACATATGCATGTTCATGGAGATTTGAAAAGTCAGTTTACTCATTTTAGTGATACTTCCTGCTCCAGTAACTAATGGAACTTCAAGTGTTGAAAAGAACAAAACTAGTAATTAGCACCAGCACACTTTACTTTTTTCTTTTAAAACTTCCTGGTTTTGATGTAGACGGGATATTCTTGAGTGTTGCGTAAAACAATAAACAAAAAAATTATAAACACGAGGACTTTACCCTTGGCATGACTCTGTCTCGCTTGATGACAGGTCTCCTCTGTTGCATTCGCAGGTTTTGCCGAAACGTCCCTCGTTGCAGGAACAAACTCCACACTGATAGGTACCATTTCCCCCACTGCACCGGGAACTGTTCGCCTCCTAAAATGATAATAATGATGAAGATAATTATGATGATGAAGAAGAGTGAGTGAGTGAGTTTGGTTTTACGCCGCTTTTAGCAATATTCGAGCAATATCACGGCGGGGGACACTAGATATTGGCTTCACACAATGTACCCATGCGGGGAATCGAACCCGGGCGAACGCTTTAACCACTAGGCTACCCCACCGCCCCCAAGAAAAGAAGAAGAAGAAGAAGAAGAAGAAGAAGAAGATGATGATGATGATGATGATGATGATGATGATGATGATGATGATGATGATGATGATGATGATGATGATGATGATGATGGTGGTCGCACCTCAGTCTTAACGCTTTTCCACTGCAACTACCAATTAGCCACTAACTAAAAAATATCGGGTACCTGTGACGTATTACAAATGGGTACGGGGTACGTACGTCCTTCCTTTGTAATTATCAAATCGTGGTTTGGGAAATGAAGATATTATCATGTGGCGCCAAAACAGTGAATTTGAAAATTCCACATTAGGTTTGTCCTTCAGCAAAAGATGTTTGTGGTAAGAGGCGACTAACAGGACCGGATGGACAGGCTCGCTGGCTTGGTTGACTTTTGCCATCGTATGATGATGATCACTGGATTGTCTGGTCCAGACTCGATTATTTACAGACAGCCGCCATATAGCTGGAATATTGCTGAGTGCGGCGTAAAACAACAAACAAAATAAACAGCTGGCTGACTTGGTCGCTACATGTCTTATCCGAGTTGCGTTAGTCGATGCTCATGATATCAATCACTGGGTTGTCTAGTCAAGACTCGTCTATTTGCAGACCGCCGTCATAATGCTGGAATATTGCTGAGTGCGGCCTTAAACACAAATAAACAAACAAACTTACTCCTCTTCCGGGTTTCTCACAGTCACACTGACATATGAACTCCAAGGTGACAGTCATAGTCTCCGGCAGATTGACGGGTGTTATCGTGATGTTCTGTACCCGGTCGGCGGGGTCAGCTGGACACCCGGTGGCCAGAATTTCAACCTCAAAGTCAACCTGAAGACAAATCATAGCATTCAATATATCATATATTCACCAAAGTAAACACTGACAACTTAATTTATTTCCTGAGTATAATATTTTCCGACGGTTAATGTTTTTATAATATGACCATATGGTACCGCCATCATACATTACAACATGCAACGATTGTATCCGTCCAATCCCCGATAAGTCAAATAGAAAAAGGAAATGTCCGTTGGAAACAAAGCGCAGCCTTGTTGTTTTAATAGGATTTGGTTACAAAGTAAGACCCATTTTGAAGGTAACGTCACTGGATTGGTTGTTATAACTGAAAGGACACGATGTTGTTCCGAAAAATGGTATCTCTACATGTTGATGCATATAGTGCACCTGACAATTCTCTGTACATATGGTTTGTGTTAAATTTCACACTGGATGAGTGAGTGAGTTTAATGAGCATTGCTTTTATCAGTATTCCAGTGATTTAACGGCGGGAGACACCGGAAATGGGCTTCACGTATTGTAACCATGTGGGGAATCGAACCGGTTTTTCAGTGTGACGAGCGAACGCTTTAACCACTAGGCTACCCCGCCCGCCCTTGCTTCATGTGGAAGGAAATCCCGAAGTGATGCAGGTCCCAAACATTTACCACTTTGATGAAACCCACAAGGACAGACACGGTGATGATAAATTTAGAAACATAAAACGGTGAAACCGGGTCCAACAATCATAGGATCCTGGCGTGATAAGGTACATAACCCTGTATCCCCTTCTTGTTATAAGAATCAAGTCAATATTTACCGGCTTCCCTATTGTTATTCCTTTACACTTGTCCGGCAAAACCTTGTTTTTCCTGAAAAAAACCCACACAATAAATGATATAAAGTTATTAGAAAGGCTAATACATAAAAAAAACCACCTTGAACTTCCTACAAACATTGAGAGTGATGAGACCGTATCATACTATAATATAAGATTTAATTAATTAAGAATGTACTTATGTTAAACTGTAATTCTAATCTAAAGCAAAAGTGACCACTCTTTCACATGTACCTTAACAGTGGCAGAGGTAGACACATACAAAATTCTCAATACACGACTTCCAAAAGTAGAAGCGAAGAAACCGTTTCAGAAATCATAAACATCATCTGCTAAAACCATATTCCAACTTTGAGCATAAAGGTTTCTTTAGCCGCTTAAAATTGGGATTTATTGACATCCAAGGCATGCACATAAAACAGCATTACAATTTTGTAAAAGACGATTTATTTAATAACATATCGTAGTAAATATTCAATAATTTTCACATATATATTTCACAGTATATTAAATGATAAAGTTTGTCGACTCACGAGGTACAATCCGGAATCAGAGTAACTGTTACATTAGGCGGCGCGTCCACTTTCAGCGTCACTTCCGATATAATAGCCTGGAGTTTTAAAAATAGAATCAGTATTGCATTACAGTAAGTGGTTGATCAGTTCAACACATGTATGAGACCTCTTAACACGAACACAAATAGCTCCAGGCATCGTCTAAAGCGGAATTAGCATCCTTGGACCCCTCTTGTCTCGAATAACGGATCAATTAATATAATTTCGATAATCGAGGACACGAGGACTGTACTTTGTACGTTAGGCTATATATAATCATTATTGTCACTGATACAGACACAGAACGTGAATAAATTATAACCCTGTTGGTCCGGATTAGCGGGTCTTTAAGTATATTACATATTCCTAGCGGGTCTGCAAGAGCGAGGCAGCATTGTGGTAGAACGGAACAAAGTCATGAAACTAAGATTTGATTTGATGATTAGCACATAATACATCAAATCTTTTCATTCGACTCCAGATGATCTGTCAAGATTGTTGGAATTTCATATGGCTCCAGATAAGCTATCAAGGTTGGTGGGTAATGACATTCAACATGACTTCAGATATGCTGTCACGGTTGGTGGTTAAAGGCTTTCATATGATTCCATATAAGCCGTCAAGGTTGGTGGGTAATGACTTACATGTGATTCCATGTAAGCCGTCATGGTTGGTAGTTAATGGATTTCATATGACTTCAGTTAATCTGTCATGGTTGGTGGGTAATGGCTTTTATATGACTTCAGTTAATCTGTCATGGTTGGTAGGTAATGGATTTCATATGACTTCAGTTAATCTGTCATGGTTGGTAGGTAATGACTTTCATATGACTTCAGTTAATCTGTCATGGTTGGTAGTTAATGGATTTCATATGACTTCAGTTAATCTGTTATGGTTGGTGGGTAATGGATTTCATATGACTTCAGTTAATCTGTCATGGTTGGTGGGTAATGACTTACATGTGACTTCAGTTAATCTGTTATGGTTGGTGGGTAATGACTTACATGTGACTTCAGTTAATCTGTTATGGTTGGTGGGTGATGGATTTCATATTACTTCAGTTAATCTGTCATGGTTGGTAGGTGATGGATTTCATATGACATCAGTTAATCCGTCATGGTTGGTGGGTAATGGATTTCATATGACTTCAGTTAATCTGTCATGGTTGGTGGGTAAGGGATTTCATATGACTTCAGTTAATCTGTCATGGTTGGTGGGTAAGGGATTTCATATGACTTCAGTTAATCTGTCATGGTTGGTGGGTAAGGGATTTCATATGACTTCAGTTAATCTGTCATGGTTGGTAGTTAATGGATTTCATATGACTTCAGTTAATTTTTCATGATTGGTGGGTAATGACTTACATGTGACTTCAGTTAATCTGTCATGGTTGGTGGGGAATGGATTTCATATGACTTCAGTTAATTTGTCATGGTTGGTGGGTAATGGATTTCATATGACTTCAGTTAATCTGTCATGGTTGGTGGGTAATGGATTTCATATGACTTCAGTTAATCTGTCATGGTTGGTGGGTAATGGATTTCATATGACTTCAGTTAATCTGTCATGGTTGGTGGGTAATGGATTTCATATGACTTCAGTTAATCTGTCATGGTTGGTGGGTAATGGATTTCATATGACTTCAGTTAATCTGTCATGGTTGGTGGGTAATGGCTTTCATATGACTTCAGTTAATCTGTCATGGTTGGTGGGTAATGGCTTTCATATGACTTCAGTTAATCTGTCATGGTTGGTAGTTAATGGATTTCATATGACTTCAGTTAATTTGTCATGGTTGGTGGGTAATGACTTACATGTGACTTCAGTTAATCTGTCATGGTTGGTGGGTAATGGATTTCATATGACTTCAGTTAATCTGTCATGGTTGGTGGGTAATGGATTTCATATGACTTCAGTTAATCTGTCATGGCTGGTGGGTGATGGCTTTTATATGACTTCAGTTAATCTGTCATGGTTGGTTGGTAATGGCTTTTATATGACTTCAGTTAATCTGTCATGGTTGGTGGGTAATGGCTTTTATATTACTTCAGTTAATCTGTCATGGTTGGTGGGTAATGGCTTTCATATGACTTCAGTTAATCTGTCATGGTTGGTGGGTAATGACTTTCATATGTATAGAGATAGGCATGTGTTACAATGTGCAATTGTTTTAACTCCCAAAATACTGACAAAATGGATTTGCGACAGTCATATAGTCTGTCTCTATGTCCCTGAACCACATTATTTCCCCTTCCGACCAGTCCCTGTTTAATAGCAAAAGCTCTAGATGAAACAAGACTAGATTTCCTGAGGTTCGGGAATCTCTGAGCTCACTGGGTTCCTTTTCAATTTAAATGGATTTATTTGTTTGTATTAGAAGTAGTTGGTCAGTGCTGGTTTAACAGTCGTGGAACTACACCGCTACATACAACCGTCTCAGATCTAATTATCGCAATTAAAGTCCATTAAGCCTCAAGGTCGCTTTAAGGAACGGTATTCTTGTTCATTAGGTGGTCTTAGCACCAGGGCTATGAGAGGCTATATTATAGTACGGGATCCGCAATCAGTCATCCTGGCATTAAATAGTTCTGTGGAACGGGGTACCGTAATTAAACTCTGGTAATTTAAAAACAGCCGCAGCAGTAACAGACCTCGTAGTTGTCTTTCACTATCTTGATGACGTTGCTTGAATTTGCGTCAAGGACGTCGACGCTAGAACCAACGATTACTTCACTTAGTTTATCGTAGCCGTCTTTGGCATCTTGGTTGGCAATGGCAAAAATGATGTTGACTTTTCTCTTGGACACCCAGTAGGCGATCTGACCCACCGACGGATAATCCTGAAAACACACGTCCAAATATCAAATACTTTGATCACATGTCCGTCTAGCATTTTTAGACAGTTCCTTATGGTAAGGTTTCCGCACTGTCAGAGTCTAGACGAATAATAATCCACTGTTCGTAGGAACAGTCCGGCTATGTTTTATTTGACTTACTTCCACTCAAGGTTCTGCTTGTTTCTAGTCAGTGGCGGTACATCCAACATGAATTTCCAAACTAAGAAAATAATATTTAAATAGTAATTGAAGTTTTGAACATTAAAGAAAAGGAAATACCGGATTTTGTTTAAATGGTGAACACTCTTACTCTGAAAGGTTATCTCTGCTTCTCTATTCCTGGGTACAGTTGGGTAGCCTACTGGCTAATGCGTTCGATCACCCACATGGGTATAATGTGTGAAGTCCATTTCCGATGTCCCCTGCTGTGATATTGCTGGAATATTGCTGCAGCGGTGTAAAACTAAACCCACTCACACACTGAAAACAAGTAGCTGAACTTACCTGGATTAACTCTTGTGGGTTCTTCCCAGTCGTGTCTAGATGACACTGGCCATCATTAGGGATGACAATGCCAGCAAGCTGGAACACACACGAGCAGTGTAAACATACAAGGTTGGCAGCTGGGGATGAAGGCAAGTGTCTCTACTGTACACGCATCCTCATCTATCAGTGAGTGTTCACCCGTGATGCTTCGGGTTCGAAATGGTCTTCAGCAACCTATGGTTGTCGTAAGGTATACACGCATCCTCATCTATCAGTGAGTGTTCACCCGTGATGCTCAGGGTTCGAAATAGTCTTCAGCAACCTATGGTTGTCGTAAGGTATACACGCATCCTCATCTATCAGTGAGTGTTCACCCGTGATGCTTCGGGTTCGAAATGGTCTTCAGCAACCTATGGTTGTCGTAAGGTATACACGCATCCTCATCTATCAGTGAGTGTTCACCCGTGATGCTTCGGGTTCGAAATGGTCTTCAGCAACCTATGGTTGTCGTAAGGTATACAAGCATCCTCATCTATCAGTGAGTGTTCACCCGTGATGCTCAGGGTTCGAAATGGTCTTCAGCAACCTATGGTTGTCGTAAGCTATACAAGCATCCTCATCTATCAGTGAGTGTTCACCCGTGATGCTCAGGGTTCGAAATGGTCTTCAGCAACCTATGGTTGTCGTAAGGTATACACGCATCCTCATCTATCAGTGAGTGTTCACCCGTGATGCTTCGGGTTCGAAATGGTCTTCAGCAACCTATGGTTGTCGTAAGGTATACAAGCATCCTCATCTATCAGTGAGTGTTCACCCGTGATGCTCCGGGTTCGAACTGGTCTTCAGCAACCCGTGCTTGTCGTAAGGGGCGACTAACGGGATCGGGTTGGTTGATGCATGTCTTCGTATCCCAATTTACGTAAATCGAAGCTCTTATGATATTGTTATTCACAGAACCCAACAGCTCATCAGTCAGAACTCACCTTCTTGTATATTAGTACTGACACCATTTTACTCGTACTCCTGTAAATCTGCATTCGTTCACTTGTGTCCCTATCCACAAAGAGTTCGTAACGTTACGCAATAGTTTATCACAGGCTTAGAAATGTTGTAGCTCTACGAACCCTTTGTGGATCAAGACCCAGGGACCCTATCCACAAATCGTTCGTAGCACTACGTCGTTCGTAAGCCAATGATATACAATGATATCGAGTTACGATAGGTCGTAATGTTACGAACGCTTTGAGGATCGGGACCCTGTAAATCAGTACTCACCCTTCCATCCCCGGCTGCATGGAACGTTGAGTCGGAGGAGTAGATGAGAAGTTTCCTTGCAGACTCGCGCCACCCTAGCTGCTTCTGGAATAGAGACAGTGAAATCACAATCACATTTCCTCAACGTGTACATACTGTACTGTCATTAGCTTGCATACATGCCTCATACCAGTGAATATCAAGATCCGATTGTGTGGCGCAAAAGCGTGAATTGATAAAACAAGTTACCCTTTACAGAGGAGTATTGGTCGGATTAATGAGGTAAAAGGTTAAGTGAGACCCGGTGTTCGAAACTTCCAAATATTCGTTCTAAGTCTTGCAAAACCGGGTTAGAATTGGCCTTCAACTCATCGTATCACTAATGCGTCGATAGATGCTCACGATGCCAATCACAAGATTGTCTGGTCCAACTTGATTATTTACAGACAGCCATCATTTAGTTAAAATATCACTGACTGCGGCTATGAACAGAAACCAAAACATACAGCAAGGCAAGAAAGATATATTTTAGACTTGTTCTGCTGAACGGCTTGTGGGGTCAGCGTCTCGAGTTGCAGACATAACTTGACTGATCTGCCTAGTACGTTAATTTCCTAGTTATCAGAGCATGATTAACGAGATACAGCTGCTGTGTTTTGAAATTTGAAATTTTCTACCTGTTGATTAGATGCCAGTCAGTAAACAACAACATTCACCTGTGCCCTTGTAGAAATATGAAGGTATGAAATGTAAAGAAATATAACCGTTTCGATCGTTCAGGCTCACTTTTTGTACATTTTCTAATGTTTCTGATGAGGATATGCAATTCACCACTACACCTACATTAACTGTTAGACCCGTGAAGATCCGGGTTATAATTGATCTTCAGTAACCCATGCTTGTCGTAAGAGGCGACGTCGACTAACGGGATCGGATGGTCAGGCACGCTGACTTGGTTGACACATGTCATCGTATCCCAATTGCGAAGATCGTCCAGACGCGATTATGTTGTTGATCACTGGATCTCGTCCAGACGCGATTATTTACAGACCGCCGCCATATAGCTGGAATATTGCTGAGTGCGGCGTAAAACAACAAACAAACATTAACTGTAACATGCAGGCTGTAGGGTCTGTAATATCTGTACTCACCTCACATGTTACAGCCTGCATGATGGCGTCAAGGCCTCCTTCAGGTGCATCTATGTTCCCAGTGACGTTGGCAGTTTCAACACTCTCCTGATTGAATAAAGACAGGCATATTCCAATAGAAGTCTTTAGGAATAATTCAAGATCAAGAGTGACGCACAATAACATACAACTTATTTGAATATTGAAACCTTGCTAAATACAATTCTTGGGTACGAGCAATCTATCGGTGGTTTGAGAAAGGTTTCGATGTATTGTTGATATTGACTATCGAAAGCGTATTTAGTAATTTCGAGTGCTGGCTATCGATATATATCATAGAGAAGGAGAATCTAATAAATTCTAAACATTCTTTCACTTCACTGGTGAGTGGTGACATGTTTTGACATGACATGTAATGACAAGTATTCTAAACATACTTTAAGTATTAGACCATGAATACAGTCCTAAAATTATATATTGTGTAAGAAAATTAAATCTAACGGGATCGAGTGGTCACTTGGTTGACACATGTCATCGTATCCCAGTTGCATATATCGAGACTCATGCTGTTGATCACTGGATTGTATGGTCCGGAGTCGATTATTTACAGACCGCAGCCATAGATCTGGAATATTGGTGAGTGCGGCGTAAAACAAGAAGCAGCCAACCAATGTGTAACGATGAGTTTAACGTTTCATTTAGAATAATTCTTGCAACATCACGCCGAGAACCACCACCAACCGAATTTAGAAATATCCACCTTGGTAATGAAACTGAGCGGAATCGAATCCCATTCTTCGTCGAGACGAGAGAAGATTCAACAACTAGGCTACCCAGACTATCCTATAACCGCACGCTAGAATAAGTATCGGGCGAATTGAACCTCTCGCACTGCGTACTTACTTCAAGTCTTGATTATACCAGTTCGGGTTTGAGGAATAGTCTTATATGACTAGTCGGACTGGGACAGTACTTACCACGAACATCGACACGTCTTTTGTGAAGTTTAGCCGATGTCGGTACCCGTACGGTTCCGAACACCGTGGTCGCTCGTTTGCATTACATGGGTCCACCAGTCTGCAATATAACACATATGTAAACCTTGAAAAAAAGAGACACAATTATTCCAGTTAAACAAATCTAAATATATCGACGAACTTTGCTGCAAACAGATTCTGATTACATAACAATGTGATTTCGAATCACTGTATGACATCAAGCATTTGCGAAACTGCGAGTGAATATTGCACAGGCAAGTCAATCATTCAATCTGTTAGCATGTGTCCTGCCCTGATTTTGTGGCTTGTCATCTTCTTGCAAAAAGGGCATATGCATGTGCTTTATCCTATACATAGCATGATGCAACTTTACACCGAGAAAAAGTAGCGGAAATAACCCATACTGATATAGTAATACTGGACCTTAGAAACCACAAAACATAATTATCTTAAAGAAATGATGTGTGGGTTGTCACTATTTACCCCTACCCGTTTAATTGAACCATGCACATATTTGAATTCATTTCAATACCCTATTATTTGCACATCAGCATAAAAGGGGCCATATTCTTATAAATTATCATTTACTGTATTAATTAATGAAATTTGGTTTTACAGAGGGAAATATTCAAATTTAAATTGTGAAACCAAAACCGATTTTCGACAGTTTTGAAACCGTTCCGTCATTCTACAGTTTCGTTCTCCTCCTCATTGAAAGACTGCCGGGAAATGGGTCAAGGACGCGTTCAAACAGCGATCACATCTTTTGTACTAACGACTGGGTTTTTTAAAAATATTCATCAGATTAAACAAACTGCATAAATATTATATTTTCAAAAGATTCACGGAAGTTGGTTGTTATTAACACCGCAATCTGCAATATTCCAGCTATATGGCGGCGGTCTGTAAATAATCGAGTCTGGACCAGACAATACAGTGATCAACTGCATGAGCATCGATCGACGCAAATGGGATACGATGACATGTGTCGACCAAATCAGCGAGCCTGACCACCCGATCCCGTTAGTCGCCTCTTACGACAAGCATGGGTTACTGAAGATCAATTCTAACCCGGAACTTGACAGGTTAACGGGATATATATGAAATCTTTGAATTAGATTCAGTCAGTTTGATACGGTGACAGGTTAAGAGTGACGAAGACGCCGGAGTTTGTTTATTGGGCGACCTTTCAATATCATTGACACTGATGCAGTTGAGAGAGACGGCACCCAGTCACTCCGTTGACCTCCTGACATTAACACTCATTATTGCGGCCATTATCACAGCTCTGGAATAATTGGACCAGTTTTACAATACAAGTTAACAAGGGAGCCTTTGGCGAAACACGGTCAACTATCGGCAAACAAAGATTTGAAAAAAAAAAAAAATCTCATGAAGGATGAACAGCGAAACCTAGTTAAACCGGACGGTAATAATTCAATCAGAGTAGGTGTTGTGAGTGTAGTATGGTCTGTTTCTCAGTAAGTGAGTGTAGTTTTACGCCGCTTTCAGTAATATTCCAGCAATCGCAGGGCGGGGGACAACAGAAATGGGCTTGGCGCATTGTACCCATGTGAGGAATCGAACCCGGGTCCTCGGCGTGACGAGCGAACACTTTACCCACAAGGCTACCCATCCGCCCTGAGTGAATGTTGTTTAAACGCCCTTTAAACAGTATTTCCAATATATCAATCTGGATAAGGTGTGAAATTCTGAGAATCGGAACCACCATGGCACCACTGTGTCCAAGATGGTTTTGTCGTTCCTTGGTTCTGCTAGTTACTGATGTACAGTCAGAACAACTGTAACAACGATCTAACTACACTGAACCTGCAGTCTGACACATAGCTCCGTAAACAATATTTTCCGCCTTCCCTAACTATAAGTTATACACGATGAGGAAACTAGAGAAACCCACTGTTTCTAAGAAAGCATTTAATTTTCAGACGAGAGGAAGCATTAGACCTTGACACGAGTTCCCAGAACATCGTTCCATACCAGGATCTGCTTATATGGACACGTGTTTGAACGGGAGTGTCCACATTGTAACTGTCTGGATTAAGGAGGTTCATCTGTCGCTTGGGGCGGTGGGGTAGCCTAGTGGTTAAAGAGTTGGCTCGTCACGCCGACAGACCCGGGTTCGATGCTCCACATTGGTATAATATGCGAAGCCCATTTCTGGTGTGCCCCCGCCGTGATATTGCTGGAATATTGATAAAAGCGGCGTAAAACCATACTCACTCACTCACTCCATTTACACTATTTGTCGTGATAGATGAGACACTTCAACGTTGTTCCGCCATGTTACAATACACCATACACAGGAAGTGTAAATGACGCCAGTTGTAATGGTATTTGTTCATCGCGAGAAGATGGAGTGCGATGATTACACTTAACCATAGGTTGTAGGGCAACTGTCGGGTCAGTGGTGTGTAAATAGCCCACTATGGGAGCTGCCAACAAATGGTAAAACTGTAGTGTCCTATCGTATTACAGTGCTGGGCGTAGCGGCTTATTTTGGATGAATGTCCGTTGGAGTGTTTCCTGGTTCACGAGTAGGTTGTACAGTAGGACCTTTTACAACCAGGAACATTTCAAGTTGGACCCTTTACTACAAGGAACCTGTACTATTTAACACAAGTATCCTGTAAATAGGACCTTTTACAACAAGGAACATTTCAAGTTGGACCCTTTACTACAAGGAACCTGTACTATTTAACACAAGTATCCTGTAAAATAGGACCTTTTACAACAAGGAACATTTTCAAGTTGGACCCTTTACTACAAGGAACCTGTACTATTTAACACAAGTATCCTGTAAAATAGGACCTTTTACTACAAGGCACATTTTCAAGTTGGACCCTTTACTACAAGGAACCTGTACTATTTAACACAAGTATCCTGTAAAATAGGACCTTTTACTACAAGGAACATTTCAAGTTGGACCCTTTACTACAAGGAACCTGTACTATTTAACACAAGTATCCTGTAAAATAGGACCTTTACAACAAGGAACATTTCAAGTTGGACCCTTTACTACAAGGAACCTGTACTATTTAACACAAGTATCCTGTAAAATAGGACCTTTTACTACAAGGAACATTTCAAGTTGGACCCTTTACTACAAGGAACCTGTACTATTTAACACAAGTATCCTGTAAAATAGGACCTTATACTACAAGGCACATTTTCAAGTTGGACCCTTCACTGCAAGGAACCTGCACTATTTAGCACAAGTACCCTGCAAAATAGGACCTTTACTACAAGGCACATTTTCAAGTTGGACCCTTTACTGTAAGGAACCTGTACTATCTAACACAAGTACCCTGTAAAAAGGACCATTTACTACAAGAAACATTTTCAAATAGGACCCTTTGCTACAAGGAAACATTACAATTAGGATTCTTTACTATAACGAGCCTTTACAGCTAGTATCCTTTACAACATGGAAGTTGCACTACTTAGCACAAGGACCCTTTACATCCAGGACCCTGTACTACAAGGAACCTGTACTATTTAATACAAGAACCCCGTAAATAGGACCCTTTACTACGAGGAAACATTACAATTAGGACCCTTTTCTACAAGGACCCTTCACAACTGAGGCCCTTTACTACAACGAACATTTATAAATACGACCCTTTACAACAGGGAAGTTGTACTACTTAGCACAAGAACCCTTTACAACCAGGATCATTTGCAATAAGGCCTTTTACATCTGGGACCCTTTAGTACAAGGAACCTGCTCTACGAAGCAGAATGACACATTACAAGTGGGACCCTTTACTGTAAGGACTATTGTAATACAATGGCACTTTAAAGCTAAGACACTTTACAACAAGGAACCTTTAAAACACGGACCCTTTACAATATGGATCCTTTACAACTAGGATCTTATAAATGATACTTTACAACTATATAGGACCCTTTTCCATAAGGGCCATGCACAACCAGCATATTGTAATACATGTATATGTAATGATATTTTACAACTAACACACTATACAACAAGGACCCTCTAAAACACGGACCCTTTACAACAAGGACCCTTTACAACTAAGACCCTTCACTATCAGGAATCTTTACATTACGCCCTCTTTACAAGAAAAATCCTCAACTACAATGAACCTGCTCCACGAAGCACAAGAACCCTCTACAACTTGGATCTTTAAATACAATGACACTTTATAACTAAAACCCTTTACTACAAGGATCCTCTGCAACTAGGACCCTTAATTTACTGTAAGGATGAACCCCCCGGCTAACACGGAACGTTTTCGCAACGTTATGGGAGGGTTGTAGATTGGTAACGTCATGATACAACGTTGTCACAATTATAACTTGTCACGATAGAATTTTCTGTAAAACGTTTCACTTTGAGATTCTTTTTCACTATTCAGCTACAGTTTCAGAAAACACACGACCAAAACAATATGGAAATTGACGAATAAACATTGAAGTGAATCTCTGCTTTGTTTCTTATGTACTGTTCACTACTGGGAGCGATTATGCTTGTCGTAAGAGACGACTAACGGGATCGGGTGGTCAGGCTCGCTGGCTTGGTTGACACATGTCATCGGTTCCCAATTGCGCAGATAGATGCTCATGCTGTTGATCACTGGATTGTCTGGTCCAGACTCGATTATTTACAGACCGCCGCCATATAGCTGGAATATTGCTGAGTGCGGCGTAAAACTAAACTCACTCACTCACTCATGTGGTTAGGCTCTCTTCTCACTTGGATGATGCATGCTTCCATTTTAGTTTGTAGGAATCATTAGCAAAGCCGTATACAAAACTTCACATATGTGGGTAATTTGATTAACGAGACATTGGAGTATAATATTTCTAGAAAAAATGCAGAAAATGAAAAACGATCCGTCATTTAGTACCTCTTGGATAATGGTATGTCCTCAGATAATGTCATATAAAATATACTCTCCCAAAAAAGAAACGCATCATGAAAATAGCAATTTCATGTAGCAATGTTTTAAAACGTGATTCATTTTACAAAAGGTTTGGCTCTGTTTATGAGTCCTATGGTGTTTATGTTTTGAAACATCACATCAAAACGCACCATCCGTAAAATACCCGTATTTAACAGCATGATTTTCAATTTCGGCGTGTAGTGTCTAAGAATACACAATTCACATGCAATGCACGTGAAAGTTTGGGATCAGATAGTCGCAATGGTGGGTATAAAAGGTTGATCGCTGTCTGTCGATTATTCACTGTATTTGGAATATTGTTGACGAACGCAAAATGCCACGTCTAAGTGAAGCCAACCGTCATATCGCCATTGGTTTGCTTGAAGCTGGCCAGTCTCAACGTGCAGTTGCCCGACGCATGAATGTTCACCAAAGCACCATTTCAAGGCTCTGGAAGAGATATCGTCGGCAGAATGCGGTAGCAGATGCCCCTCGTAGTGGGCGACCTCGAGCGACCACTGCGGCGCAGGATCGCTACATCCGGGTACATCACCTGCGTCATCGAACAGCTACGGCGACCAGTACCGCTCGACAAATACCCGGATTGAGGAGGCTTTCTGCACAGACTGTCAGGAACAGGTTGAGAGAGGCTGGTTTACGTGCCAGAAGACCTTATTTTGGCCCTGTGCTTCGACAACAACATCGTCGACATCGAGTTCAATGGTGCACCAACGTTCAGGCCTGGAACCTACCGAATTGGCGTAGAATCTGGTTCAGTGATGAATCACGATTTCTATTGGAACGACGCGATGGAAGAATGCGGGTGTACAGACGCCGACGATTGCGTTCCCGCGGTGGACAGATTCGGCCGGGGAAGTGTTATGATGTGGGGAGCGATCACCTGCCGTAGGAGAAGTGATTTGGTGATGATCCAGGGCAACCTGACAGCTCAACGGTACTGTGACGAAATCCTACGCCCACACCTCCTTCCAATCATTGATCGCTAGAGGGAGTTGTTTCAACAGGACAATGCCAGGCCTCACACAGCACGTCACACTAGAGACTTCCTCCAGAACCACAACATCAATGTGCTCCCCTGGCCCTCAAGATCACCGGACTTAAACCCGATCGAACATCTGTGGGATGCCCTGGACAGACGGGTGCGACGCCGTAACCCTCAGCCCCAGACACTTCAGCAACTCGCACAGGCACTACAGGCAGAGTGGGCTGCGATTGGGCAACACGAGATTCTGAGACTTATTCGTTCGATGCCGAGGCGATGCCGTGCAGTTCTGGATGCCCACGGTGGTCACACGAGGTATTGACTTCAGCGCCACCACACGTCTCCATGTGACACTCAAACTGACTTTCCTCGAGTTGGTGCCAAAGACGGATAAGTCTGCATTCCTGTGTGCAATTTCGCTATATTTCATTGACTCATAAAGCCTACAAGATGTTTCAAAATAAACATAAAAATACAGTTGAAATTCCTATATGCGTTTCTTTTTTGGGAGAGTATATGTTAGTATAGTATTGGATGACTTCCCGTCATAATTAAGAGTCGAAGCTTTGGATTGCTTGATTCATATTTAGTCGGGGGCTGTTTCTTTTAAGGACGCCCCCATTTTAGTCTTTCAAAAACATTGTGTCCAGATATTCAAGCTGGCCCTGTTTACAATATACTAGTACTGAGAGTTGACACTTGTGTGACCATTCAGTATTTACTTTGAACCTTTAGCATCATGTGTGAAAAAGTGAAAACATTAGAATAAGTTATGTCCTTTCGTCGTCTGAAAGGGGGTGGGTAGTGTCTCCAAAACAAGCTGTTTCAGTAAACATGAAGGGGGAATCACTTTAACAAGCGATTGTACTTTCAAATTGCTTTTTTATGCACTTTAATATCTAAGTTTGATTCTAGCGGACGTCTACCGCTACATCTTGTTACCTGAAGTTTGTGGTGCATTTATTGCAGATTTTGCGCTTTTGGGGGGTACCAAGATAAAATTTCAAACAAAATGGGGATCGTAAGGCTGGAACGTAGCAAAACCAATTTGCTTGAGGTTGACAGATAATATGTAGAAAAATATAACATAAAAACAGCTGCATTTGTATCATTTACTAAGTCAGGCCGACTACTTTTTGACTGTCCCTCGTATTAACGTTAAATAGAACGTTAAGACAACGCAAAACACGTGAGCATCAAATAACGTTTACCTTGCTGCGACGTAAAAATGACGTATCACAACGTCAGGCCACAACGTTGAGACAACGTAAATAGGAGTCCACAGAATAACGTTGTAACAACGAAAGCATAATGTTGTGACAACGTTGTGGCAACGTGAAATTGTTAGCTGGGCCGTTACAACTAAGACCCTTCTCCACAAGGGCCCTTTCACCACATATTTACACCAATACCTTTAACTACCATGTGTCTTTACATAAAGGACCTTTGAGCCTAAGGACCCTTTAGTACAATTATCTTTTACTACAAAGTCCTCATAAAACACAGGTTTGTGTGTGCGTAGCGTGCGTGCGCGTGTCTGTGTCCGCTGCTGTCTTTTCCAAAAACGGACAAAAGAGTTGTATAGAAAGACTGTTCATTGCTCATGTTTTCATATTCTTTTCTAAAGCATTCCCATCGCTTTGTAAGCCACTCTATCGATTTTCAAAATCACTGATTCAGATTCAAATCACCAAACAGGCAATCGATCGATTCCACAGAGCAAACAAAATTTTGTCCCAAAGTCCCTGAATCACATCATGTCCCCAACCGCCCAACCTTTTCTGCAATACGAAAGCCCTAAATGAAGCCAGTCTAGGTTCCGCTACACTAAATCAGTATCACATGCTCCCTGCGCGAGAGCCGAACAAGTGAAGAGAGACAGAGACATGTGACAGCTGTGATTGGATGAAATAGTGTAAGATGTTTATGTTTTTTAAAAGCACATCCAACCAGTAATTAAAACTGACCACAATTTTAAGTATTTAGTGCTGTCATTTTTATCACCATCACTTATGCTTATTGTGTGTACATATATTTTCCACATTTGGTGCGGAACTTGGGTTGATGTGTTCCGCTTCCTGTGCTCGCAAAACGAGCCGGACAAGTTGGCCTGATATTTTGTTTTATGGTAGTTTAAAGGCCGTAGTTTACCCATGTGTACATGGAATGGCTGTTGATAGCCTGGATATTTTTAAAAAGAATACAAGGTTACTATAGAAGTCTTTGGGAACACATTTGGTGGTGTGTAACCTCTAGACTGTCCTTATGTTCTAAATCGTCCATTTCGCTGGGGTTCCTTTTCAATTTAAATGGAATTGTTTGTTGCTATTGAAACGACATGTATTCAAAGAGAAAGCGGTTGTCTAAGCAATCAGAATCGGGTCTGACTTACCGGCTAGGAATTGTATTGGTGAATGGAAGAATGACTTTGTCTTGAAAATATCCAAATCCAAGACGGTAATTGTTGGAAATCGACCCTATTTTGTTAGCTGTAAATGAAGAAGTGGATATTATTTTACAACATTCACCACTCGCCACAGAAACTAATTGTGTTTTTGTTTTTAAGAAACGCACATATCGATTGCAGCATAAAAAACAAAAACGTAATTGTAATGTCGAGTTTAGCAACAATTCGGTCAGATTTCAACACGAATTCCACATTATACGAGAACATTTGAGGTGAACATACGTTTTGTTCATTGTTCGTTGGCAATGTACATTACTCCCGTATGGTTTTGTCAAATGTGTGAGTGAGTATGGTTTTAACTTTTAGCAATATTCCAGCAATACCATGGCGGGGGGACACCAGACATGGGCTTCACACATTGTACCCATGTGGGGAATCGATCCAGGGTATTCAACGTGAGAAGCGGACGCTTTAACCATTAGGCTACCCCATCGCCCCTTATTTTGTCGAAAGGTCGAGGTAAAAAAAACCAAACGCTTTCTGTCAAATTCTAATTTTTTTATCGTGGCGTCATTTTCAACATAATTGCCATTTTCACATTTCAATTATATTGCTGAAAAACATGAAGTTTGGATGATGTTTTCGTTAATTCATTTATTATTCAAAAGTTCGAGTTTTTAATCATTACTTCTATTATTACCTCGTTGATTTAACTTTCTTTCAAATTTAAAAAAAGTTAAAAAATAAGAGGTTTAATAAAATAAACTTGAACTATTCAAGTTCAATTTAAAACCTCTTTTTTTTAAATCTAAATTTAACGTGTGTAGTATTAGTATAAGTAGATATTTGTGTAGTATATCGAGATTCAGAGGTTAATCTGGTTTCATCTGACCAAGCATGCACTACTCACCTATTTTCCCAGCTAAGTTAGCCAGTTTTTTTTTATGCGTGTTCATGGTGAAGGATAAATCAAAGAGAAAGTAGAGATCCACTGGGTAGTTCCTGGCAGCCTGATACCGCAGCGGAACCGTCACTTTGGAATCTGGAAGAAAAATGGTACACGAGATATCTCGGACATTATCATCGAATCTACCTTATTTCTACTTTGTCAAAGTCTCCCTTTCAGGGCATTGGTAGTTCAAGGCAATGATGATAACGATGACGATAATAATAGTGAATTATTAAGGCGCTTGCTTCCATAAAATACTTGCTCAACGGCGCTGAAGAAGAAAGTCTTGAAGACTATGAGGGGGATATTGTGAACAGATGGGTTTTAGTTTTTTTGGAAAGAGTCTTTACAGCTGATTTCTCTGGTAGTGATTGGGACCCTGTTCCAGATTATTGGGGTTCCAGCTGAGAAGGTTGTGTCACGCATCGTGATCTTGGTTGCTGGTTTAGAGAGAAGAAGGGAGTTGCTGGAACTGAGAGATCTGCTGCGAGTATGAAGAGTTACAAAATTATTCAGATATTTTGGAAAGTCATTATCATAAATGCAGCTGTGTGTCAAGAGGAGAAGCTTGAAAATGATACAGGAAGCCAGTGAAGTTGTTCGAGACTGGGAGTGATGCTGTCATATTGTGGAACACGAGCAGCAGATTTTTAAATTCTCCAGGTCAATATCCTCTCATTGGAGATATCACTTCCATTTCAAATAATTTCGATTTTAATTCATCTTTCTATTTCCAGAATGACGAATACTGGAATAAACTGCACCACGAAAGAAAGTATCAACTTGAAAATTGGACATGACAAAGATTTACAAAGGTTATCAAGCAGCAGCTGAAAACAGTCGACCAAAGAAGAAAAACGTAATTTCCAAGAAACAAAGTCTGATACCCGTATCAAACCCATCATCGTCGAATAACGTCGATTCATATTTGTGTCATCCCAGCAACCATGATACAAGAGGATACAAGTTACGTTCGCCCCAGCAGTTTCTTTCTTCATACCTTATTCGCTGCTTTTAGCAATAGTCAAGCAATATCACGGCGGGGGACATCAGAAATGAGCTTCACACTATGTACCCATGTGGGGAATCGAGCCCGGGTCCTCAGCGTGACGAGCGAACGCTTTAACCACTAGGCTACCCCACCGCCCCAAAAATATATACAGGAACACAGTGACGAAGTGTTGTTGCGTTATTTGTGTCCTCAGTATATATCTTTGATCACTTTTTTATTTTCCATAATTAGACGGTTCTACCCTCTGATCTGACAGAGCAATGACAATGATTTAACTGCATAACTGCTTTTGTTCGTTACAACTTACTAAAGGTCCGTACAACACCCTTATTGTACTCACGTGTGTGTAAATGTCACATATGCCGATTTGTCATCCTGACTCAGAAAGACGCATCTTAAATTGCCAGTAATTGCAGGCAGACAGACACATCTCCGGTAGCCTCGCTGCCATATGTTTGTAATATACCCAGTGGATGACATGATAAACATCATAATGGCATCGTAATTTGTAAATTGTGTAACGACGGTCGTAACGACTACCAACCAGGGACCAGGACAAAGGATAATTGCTGCATTGTGTGAAACGTGTTTGGCGTTTGTATGTCAATACTAAGTCAATTTACACACAAAGGCTTGTATAGTACAGCCGCTGTAGAACGAGATATACGTTTGTTATGAGTCGTGTGATGGGACAGGGAAATGTTTAAACGCCCTTGTCAGCAATCTTTCAGCTTACTAGTGAGTGAGTGCGTCAGCAATTTTCCAATGTACAACAATATCATGGCTTGGGACACCAGAAACTTGATTTACATATTGTACCCATGTGGGGAGTCGAACCCGGGCCTTCGGCGTGACGAGCAAATGCTTAAGTTACAAGGCTACCCTACCGCCCCACCTTAATAATAGTGCCAGTTAAGAAACAGGCATACTTATACCTTTGCAGGCTCAGAAAACTAGTTCATACATCAATGTACAGAATGACATATTGGCCCGTCTTCGGTACTCAGCCTAGTGGATAAAGCGTCCCCCCGAAGACCCGGGTTCGATTCCCCACATGGGTGCAATGTGAAGCCCATTTCTGGTGTTCTACTCTGTGATATTGATGGAATATTGTTAAAAGCGGCGTAAAACTAAACCCACTCATTCTTTGTTTTCAAACAGCGTTTTCATGAACATGCTAGATGGTCCTTATTCAGTGGTCTTGTAGTCGATAGCTTGGTGATATACGTCGATGGCATTCATTATCGCTCACAATATTTATCAGTGATTTGTCTGTACGATTGTTAAATCGAGCGTAATCTTTGAAGCTTTGAATTTACAATGGTATCCCATGCAATGTAACTTCTCACTAGGGGAGTAGCATCAAGGTATGTTGCGTTATCTCTAACATTGAGTATATATGTACAATCACCCTACTCACTGGGGCGGATCTGCAGGGTCAGTCGTTGTGGCTGCAGCTGCACCGACTCCTTGCCGTCCACGCCGTCGGTTACATTGTTGTTCTGGAAACAAGACAAGTAGATGAAGATGACGAGGAGCACATATACATCGCGAATTATTTTAATTTATGCAAATACCGGTTAACACCGAAAACTTAGCAGCGTTGTATACATATTTCACAGAGAAAAGCAACAGTACTTTACATCTTCATCAATGGAATGTGAATACAAGTGTTGCATCTTTAGATTTCAGAGCTTGACCACTGCTTATTCAGTATTTGTGAGATTTAAGTTTGCTGCAAATGTTCTTAAACTTTTCAGCAAAGACAGCTAATATTATTATTATTATTATTATTATCATTATTATTATTATTATTAGTAGTAGTAGTAGTAGTAGTAGTAGTATAGGATATTTATATAGCGCACATATCCACGCACTGGTGCATGCTCAAGGCGCTGGTATTTTTGCCCTCGATCATTGGATGTCAACCTCAACGGCACATCGCATTATCAATCTCAACTCCCTGGGGAGTATACAACTCTTGCAGCCACGAGGCGCACCGAGTTATTGTATTCATATATATACCTGTGCCTTAAAAAGCGGCGTAAAACTACACTCACTCACTGAATATACCTATGCCTTGAATACCGATTGAATATATATCACAAAGGCATTCTAACAGTGCCCTGCTTGAGTGAGTGAGTGAGTTTAGTTTTACGCCGCACTCAGCAATATTCCAGCTATATGTCGGCGGTCTGTAAATAATCGAGTCTGGACCAGACAATCCAGTGATCAACAGCATGAGCATCGATCTGCGCAATTGGGAACCGATGACATTCTTGTGTTAGTCTTGAGTGAGTGAGTATGGTTTTACGCCGCTTTTAGCAACATTCCAGCAATATCACGGCGGGTGACACCAGAAATGGACATTACATATTGTACCCATGTGGGAATCGAACCTGGGGATTCGGCGTGACGAGCGAACGCTTAACCTACGAGGCTACGCCACTGACCCGCGTTAGTCTTGACTGATGCCGATTTTAGGCTAGACAAGTGATCATATATGTGTGTGTGCGTGCCTGTGCGTGCCTGTGCGTGCGTGTGTGTGTGTACGTGTGCTGTTGTGTGTGTATGGTTTTATTATCTGTTCCACATCTGAGGACGCCATATGAGCTGTAACACTTTTTAGTACAGATTGTAGTTCTGTTGAGGGTTGAGTCCCATAGGTGTTTCGAAACATGCACACTCAAAGAGTGAGGACCTATTCGCCAGCACACAAAATCAGCGATTTAACCTTTACATCCACCGCGGTTTCCAAAAAATAGAAGTCTGAAAGTAGGCAGTCTTCATCACGGATGTTTTGTACCCCTCCGACATGTGTTAATTGGCACGGCCCCTATTGAAAGCTATCAATGCCATTAGGGAAGTGGTCAAATGTAACATATTTTATATTTGGAGTTACGCTTTCCTACAAAAGTACAGCTTCTATTACATTTGTGGTTGACGCCTATCTGGGATTCGAACCCCCACTCTCAGACTGAGGCACCCGATCCCAGCATTTCGTAATGTGTGCACCCCTCTCACAAGCTTGAGATTACGGAGAGTGAACACTTGACGTCCCCACCGACCAGAAATATTTAGCTTTAGTGAGTCAGTGAGTGATTTTGGTTTTACGCCGCATTCACTAATATTCCAGCTGTATGGCGGCGGTCTGTTTAGTAAATAATCGAGTCTGACCAGACAATCAGGTGATCAACAGCATGAGTATCGATCTACGCAATTGGGATACGATGACATGTGTCAACCGAGTGAGTGAGCCTGACCACCCGATCACGTTAGTCGCCTCTTATGATAAGCATGGGCTACTGAAGATTAATTCTAACCCGGATCTCACGGGTGTAGTTTTTATGGAAAAATACCACATCAAATTCCCTGACATGTGGGCAGTTATATACATTCTAAATGCATTTAATTCTAATCTGCAAGAACAAACAAACGAGAAGTCCGTCGGGTTGGCCCTTCCTGAACACGCCAACACGACAAGGGAAGGAAATAGGATCACGGTTGTTATCATAATGCCACCACTCCCACAACGGCCATACTTCCGGATTATCTTGTTGTGTTTAAATAAAGTAAACAACATCGTATGGACATGATTCCCTGGGGTGAAAAGTCATTTCATCCTTTTCATGACGGTAGTTAGCATAAAGATTGAGTGAGTTTAGTTTTACGCCGGTTTTAGCAATATTCCAGCAATATCACGGCGGGGAACACCAGAAATGGGCTTCACATATTGTACCCATGTGGGGGATCGAAAGCGGGTCTGCGAACGAACGCTTTAAACACTAGGCTATCCCACCGCCTCTTTGTATAAAAACATTGTCAACACACTGAATACATATTTAAACAATCGATAAGGGGTGTTTGGGTGAAACAGTGAGATAAATCACGAATTGATGTGAGGGGTTATTCGATGTTCGTTACATCCGAAGTGTAACACAAATACCAAAGGGGCATTTACATACACAGTTGAGATTTGTATCTTTGTTACGAAAGAAATTTCACGGTGATCTTTTAAAGTGTTAAAAGGAAGAGGAAGGGGTTTCAAGTAATTGTTTTCAACGTCAGTTAACATAGAATCTAATACTCTCCTTAATCGAAAAGGTCCACCATAAAATTCTACGATACTGAATAACGGAATAACCTTGGGAAATTGACAGATGCTTTAAGAACGTCAATAGGGACGATTCCAACGGAACCATTCGTTTTAGCGGGGTGCTGCTTTGTGTGAAATATGTCTCAATAGTGGTGGTGGTGGTGGAATTGGGTTTAACGTCGTGCTTGTGAATATTTCGCTCATATGACGACGTGCATGCGTGTGTGTGGGTATGTGCGGCTGCTTGTACTAGCCCAGACTTAAGCTGGTTTTATAGTGCTAGCCCACTGAGATACCATGCCGCAGTGAAGCATGAACACTCAGACACATTATACTGACTCCGAGCCGACCAGTACTTGTTGTACCCATTACTGCCGAGCGCCAGGCAGGGACCAACAAATACCATATTTCAACGTCTTTTGATATGACGCGGTCGGGGTCTCAATAGTATATCAATGAACACATGAGGACTAATATAAAAGAGGCGAAATGACAGAAGATATTATTAATTAAAATCATAAGTTCGCTTGTTTATTGTTTGTTTGCTGTTGGATCAGACAACCCGGTGACTGGCATCTTGAGCACCAGGTTACGTAATTTGGATACGATGGCATGCATCAACCAACTCAGGACAAACTGACCACCCAATCCCCTTAGTCAGTTATAACGATAAGCCAGGTGACCACTGAAGACCACAGATAATTTCAGTGCAGGCGGTACTCACTTCGTTGTATTCGATGTTGTTGCTGGGGAAGGTGATGTTCGCTATGGAGCAGGTCTTGTTGATTTCCTCTATCGTGCCACATCTGTCTTCTGGGTTGACAATTACCTGGAACATAGACAGGGCATGAGACAAGGGTCGTAATGGATGGTTGGAGAACACTGATGTTGGATTAGAACACATGATCTAAAGGAACATAATCTGACGTACAAAAGAAAGTACCCACCTGATGCTTTGGTAAAATGTCTTCCTGAAAACAGCGTAATATTGAGAAAAGTGTTTTGATTGCGACTCACAAGTCACAAACACTGTGCACGTGTTGCAATAACACCATATATGGTCGATTCCAACGACAAGTGTACACAGCATGTTTGGGCCCATAACATCTTAGCATTACTACCCAGGATGCCTATCACATCGGCACAAGTGAGACGATTCGGGCCATATATAACATGACTATTTTTAATTAAGAATTAGGCTTATGGGAGACAAAAACAGTCCATTTTTATTCATTTTGACTTTTATTTTACAAATGTTTTGTTGAAAACATGTTGTGTGTTAAATACTAGCCAAACTGGATGAACAAAGGTTAATAATCTGATTGCCAAATATTTCATGAATAAATCCCCTGAAATGATTTTGTCTAGGGCTTAATTCGTAATTTTGGTAATTTGTTTTCAAGTGGTATTTTGTTGCGAAACCTACGAATACAGTTTTCAATGACACTGTCAATTTATGTAAATGCAACACAAGGTTATGTTTTGTATTACTTTTTACAGCATTAATATGTAAAGTACTCAAATGCAATGGCGTTACATAATATTTCTTACAGGTAATAATCTGAAAAAAATGTAAGAAAATCAAAGTCTGATTTGGTAAAAAAAATCACGTTACCTACAAATACCATTAAATATGTTGCTGTTTCTACAAATAAACACATAAGTGAATATAATCCTAAGTTCAAGTGCAGAGGGCCACAAGGTTTTGCGTGCTACATCTGAACATTTTCTGTGATGATTTTACGAAGATATCACACAAAATAACCTGTATTCGAAAGTAAATTTTAACTCCCAAATGTTACCTACAAGTACCAACAACTGATCACATTCAAATAGATTTGTGGAATGACAACACGTGACATGTGTTCCATTTGGAAGCGATCATAGATGAGATCAGACAATATCTGGGTGATTAGTAAGTGTATTTTACATTTTCTGTAAGAATGTTATATAAATAAACCCATGTCACAATAACATAGGATGCATATGACACCTGTTACAACTAACCAACTTTAATTTTAGTGAGGTTTTACGTCTTATTATTGTCAAAAGGGCCGCAGACTGCAAGTGGAATTGACATGGGGGTCAAATTGGTAAGACATGGTGTCCTGCTGGGATTTCCCCGGTTGTGGCTCACGGCATTTGTAGATAACATGTATTCGTTGTTAACAAAATGAAATAGAGAACACAATACGCTGCTATAACATAATTTATACTGAAGACAATTATTGCAGATCATAAAACTGATTAGGTACGCAGTACTGCATATTAATAGGTTGAAATGGTTCCTTGGAATTCCAAATGGCTACATAACTGAGCGTTCAATAAAAATGTTCTATTCAGGGATACACTGCAGTTCGTGGTTTAGACTTTATTATAGTGATATATAATGAATTCTTTTTGATTGAAATGTCAGAAACAAGTTGATCTTGGTGATAAAAGTAAAAGTTTGTATGATATCACGGGATAAACGGTAGATTCGTAGGTAACATGTGTATTCATTGGTAACATTCCGAATTTGTAGGTAACATCAGTCAGTGTGTTTGAAGTTGTACGTCATGTTCAGGGCCGTCACCGATGCACTTACGAACATAGGATAATTGAGACTATAGTAGAAGTAAGTTGCATGGGTTTAGTAATTAGATTTATCAAAGGTATGTCTTATTCGTAGGTAACTCGTGTTTGTAGTTTAAACTTTCTGTAAATGTCTATCTAATAGCAATTGTCACTGCAAAATATGGGTAATTAAAGCAGAGTTGTAGTTCAGTAAGACGCATAATGTTTATCTGTACATAATTTTATTTGGTATATGGTAATAGTTCAAAGCGTTTTGAACATTTGTGATGTGCTTTCTTTGAATACAAATGTCAGTTGAAACATTTGGTAAATACAATTTCAGGTGTAATGATTTTAGTTCAAAATCTATACTTCCCATCAACAGTTCAGACTCACTGGTGTTAATATAGCCACTTACTTCAGGCGACTGTTTTAAACTAAATTTTGCAAAATATTCCATACTGTTTAAAGGTACTGTTTACACATGAATTGGTGTATTGTAAAACAAATTCGTAACGTTGAAAAGATTATTGTCATGAGTTCAATAAATGATAAAAATCAGTGAAAATTTGCAAATTCTGA